GCCCAGAAGTTCTCGTAACGATATTTTGAGGAGTTTATCTGATTTCAGCCGAAAAATTTTTTAAGGACATTGCTGCACACCACCTGTGGATGAAAAACAAGGATAATTCAAAATTTAAAGAAATTTTACTTTTTTCTCCGCTCGTTGCCTGCTCCCCAGTTCTAATCCAATTATACTGCCCAGCTTTTCCCTCATTCTCCTCATCTCATCTCTCTACCACTTCCCTTCTTCCCTTTCCCTCCGTTCACACTCACGCATGTACATACACACATACATACATACACGCATACATACATACATACACGCATACATACATACATACATACATACACACACACGGACCCTCACACGTCCCCCTGTCTGTTATGGTTAATATCAAAGATAAGAGATCAATTTAAATGGCATGTTTAATGAAGACTTATGAGGAAGTGGTCTCTATTTAATGTCAAATTTTAGTCATTTCGTCAAATTTACATTAATTTGTCAAATGTCCCTGCAAGAATACATGTCTCCAGCACTGCTAGGAATACACGTCGGCCTTAAAAGTATCCAGACTGGAAGGAATCCCCGAAATAAATTTGCCTTCGCCTGGTCCAGTTGTATCAAATCTAATCTCATGATTTTCAACATTGGTCGAAAACGTCTCGAAATAACTGAAGCTTTGTCAAGTATTCCAATCAGGGGAACAATTGAGCTGGTAATCCCTTCAGGAGACAAAAAAAATAAATCGCCAGCAGGCTGATCACCAGCGATGCAGCACTGGTCAAAGCAACTGTATCAGCTGTACAACTACGAATTACAATTGATCTTTAATATATATCTAGTATCAATTGTGCATCACAAAGAATTAAGCTTGAAGTACTAAATAACGCACATCATAGGATAAGAATTCTGCAACACCGTCGCACACATCGTCCTCAGAAGCTTTTGTACTGAAGGTGATAAGAATTAGTAAGTAAATGTTTGAAAAATTCAAAAGAAAACAAACTTTCTTATCGAAGTGATAACCAAAAAATCAA